TTGACCTATAGGCTGTAGTTTGCCAACCCCTGATCTAGATATTTAAGTATAGCATTTCTATCCACAATAATTATATCATATTTCCTTTTTCCATAAAGTTTTACAACTTGATTTTGTTGAAGACAATCTTGTCCAACTCGCAGCCTGTGGGCTGCATGTGGCCTAGGATGGCTTTGAATGCAGCCCAACACAAATCTGTAAACTTTCTGAAAATATTATGAGATATTTTTGTGATTTGTTTTTAACTCATCTGTCATTAGTGTTAGTGTATTTTATGTGTGGCCAAAGACAATTTTTCTTCTTTCAAGGTGGCTCAGGGAAGCCAAAAGTTTGGACATCTCTGGTTTACAATGTCTTAAAATACAAAGTCACATCTTCTCTTGTGTGCCTACACCATATCCTTCCCATAGGGAGTTCCTGTTTGGCAGCAAGAGACTAGCTGGTTCCATACCTGCTAATTATATCATAGTCCTCATTTGTTGCCAAGTGTTTCCATATGGCCGTTTGGTCTGGTAAGTCTTTAATGTTTATTTGAAGCAGTTTTGCATACTGAATTGGTCTTTCACCACCTCTCCCCTCCATTAGTTCTTAGATTAGAGTATCTTTATTTTATTATCCTTATTTTTTTTTCAGATATATCCTCAACCTTCTCCCTGATTGCGGTATTTGAATCTTGGATGACCCAGATATTATATTTCCATCCATTTTCCTCCCCATTCCTTAGTTTTAAACTTTCTGAAACTTGCAAAATACCTTAACAGCCTTTTACTATTTTACCTCAGATGGCAGCCTACTTTTTCTATATAGGTTCTACGTATCCCAAAAGATATGCTGGTTCTACAATTCTCTTCCTTATATCATTATCTCATCTACATATTCAGACACTGGAAATCTGTTTATCTTTAAAATTCTTTGTAGAATTTACTTCAGGAGCTTGGACTGAAGTCACTTATAACTTAAATTTGGCCCAGGAGTGATTCAAACTGAGTCCCTACAATTGTTAACCATTTGTCTTCCCCCTAACATTAGCAGCCTGTTTTATGAAGGTCGCTGTATGTGTTACAGCAGGCAGTTATGCACATGGATCATGGCCAACACAGTCTGTTTATGAGCCAGTTTATCTAAATAACCTCATGAATGCAGATTTTTTTCTGTTCAGTAGCATCCCTTGCCTTGGAGAAGTTCGGTTGGGATGAGATGACTCCGAGAATCTCCTAGGAGGTGGATTCCAAACTAAGATTCATGACTTTATTCACTAGTTAGGTATTTTTCTTTGGTGTAATGAAAATAGCATTGACATTAGATTCAAGAGGTTTGAATTTTTATTCCGGTTACAAGACTTAACCAAATAAGCTAAACCAGTCTAGATTTAAGTTTCTTCTACTGAAAAACAAAAAACTTTGTGTAGTTGCTTCCCAGACCCTATCTCTAACAGTCTGAGACTATATAGTAGATTGTATATTAGGAACAATGGTATACCTAAGTGGTCTGATATTTGGCACAGACAGATGTCATTTCTAGGACCATGACACTTTCATGTGAATTACAGTCTTGCTATAGTTTGAATGTTTGTCTCCTCCAAGACCCGTTTTGAAATTTAATTGACATTGTAACAGTATTAAGAAGTAGAAAGTTTAAGAGGTGATTAGGCCAAGAGGACCCGACCCTAATGGGTGAGATTGGTGCCACTAAAAAAAAGCAAGTTCTGGGCCAGCCATGGTGGCTCACAGCTGTAAGGCTGAGGCAGGCAGATCATGAGGTCAGGAGATCAAGACCATCCTGGCTAACACAGTGAAACCCTGTCTCCACTAAAAATACAAAAATTAGCTGGGCATGGTGGTGCATGCCTGTAATCCCAGCTACTCGGGGGGCGCTCAGGCAGGAGAATCACTTGAACCTGGGAGTCGGAGGTTGCAGTGAGCCTAGATAGCATCACTGCACTCCAGCCTGGTGATGGAGCGACACTCCGTCTCAAAAAAAGGGCAAGTTCATCCTTCTCTTGTTCTCTTATCCTTTTACCTTCTGACACAGCAAGATGACCCCTACCAGAGGCCAGCCCCTTGATCTAGACTTCCCAGCCTCCAGAACTGTGAGCCAATAAATGTCTCTTTGTTATAACTTATCCAATCTGTGGTATTTTGTTGTACTAGCTCAAAACGGACTAAGGTAAGTCTTAAGTTTTAACTGCTTAGTTCTTTAATGTGTTTCAGTGATAATGAAAATACCTTCATTTGTCAGGACCTCAAAGAACTTTGAAAATTACCATCTTGACTATGTATATGAAGAACTGAAGGCACAGAAAGGTAGAATTGGCCAAAATGAGAAAAAAGTACCAGGTCTCAGAATTAGTTAAGTTTTATATATACTTGTTGAGTGACCCTAATCTGAAAATCTGAAATGCTCTAAAAATCTGAAACTTTTTGAGCACAGAAATAATGATCAAAGGAAAGTTTCACTGGAGCATTTAAAATTTCAAATTCTTGAATTAGGGATGCTAAATCAGTAAGTATAATGAAAATATTCCAAAATCAAAAAAAAAAAAAAATCTGAAATCCGAACACTTTTGGTCCCAAGCATTTTGGATAAGTGAAACTCAACCTGTAGTAGTTTCAGTTAGAGCAAAACATTATCATTGGTTTGTCAAAATTATTTCTAATCATAGTTTGATGATATTTTGTGTATGCTCTTTCAGGTCAGAAGTCCAAACTAGTTTTGATTTTTTATCCTCAAAATCACTTTTTGTAAGAGTAATGACTATCCAAGACAAAAGAATTCTCTTTCCTCTGGGTCCTCAGACAAAGCTTTTTTTAATTTCTTTAATTTTTAAATAAAGCAAGCTATTTATGCAGAAGAAATTGAATTAAGTGGTGAAACTCCATTCAGATTTTGTATTTGGAATCTCTGTGGGTAGAAATGAGACGATTGAATTGAGGGATAGAATTAAAATAATTCATTTTAGTATTAAATAATGAAAATGGAGAATATAGAATATTTTCCTACTGTGTTTTTCCTATATTATACACATTTTGCTGGTAAAGCTTAGCATCTGTCACACATAGTAAGTTGTACTCCAGTGACACTTTGAACATTCACAGTGAGTGTTACTTCAGTTTTGACTACTTTGTCTGTGAGTTGCCTGTTGACATTCATCTTCTTTTGGTAGCCTTGCCTCTAGATTCTGGCTGCTTATCTTGGCTCTCTAAGTCTAGCTTTTGGCTTCTCTTCCTGGATCTGCTGCCCATAGCCTAGGCTAATACAACATGTAGGAAGCTTCCAGAAATTGATATAGAGGGGGCTTTTTGTACAAGGCAAATTTGGGAGTATTCTGACTTTGTGAATTTAACTTCAAACAAAGAAAACAGTCTATGACGTGGTGGCTTTTGTGGACATGGTGACTTCTAGATACGAAAATCAAGTAGAAAGATGATCGTCTAAATGTCAACTATCCTGGCTTATGTTTTGGTGCAATTCCTGGGTGGATTATCAGGCAGATAAACCCATGGCAAGGTGTATATAAGTGACATGCAGAGGATATAGAAGAAGCCACCTAGAAATAATTGTGTTTAGTTACCAAAAGATAAATACTATATGATTCCACTTGTATGCGGAACCTAGATTGGTCAGATTCATAAAGAAAGAATGCAGAATGGTGGTACCCAGGGTCTAGGGACAAGAGAATGAGGAGTTGTTATTTAATGGGTACAAAATTTCATTTTCTAAGATGAAAAGAGTTCTGTAAATGGATGGCAGTGATGGTTGTACAATAATGTGAATGTGCTTAATGGCACTCAACTGTACACTTAAAAATAATAAAGATGGTAAACTTTATGTTATGTTTATTTTACCACAATTTAAAAAGTATGTAAAAATAATTTTCTTTAGTTTATTTTGTTCATGTCCAGGCATGGTGGCTTATGCCTGTAATCCTAGCACTATGGGAGGCCGAGGCGGGCAGATCACAAGGTCAAAAGATCAAGACCATCCTGGCCAACATGGTGAAACCCCATCTCTACTAAAAATACAAAAATTAGCCATGTGTGGTGGCACGCACCTGTGGTCCCAGCTACTTGGGAGGCTGAGGCAGAAGAATCGTTTGAACCCAGGAGGCGGAGGTTGCAGTGAGCCGAGATTGAGCCACTGCACTCCAGCCTGGCAACAGAGCAAGACTCTGTCTCAAAAAATAAAATAAAATAAAATCCGATTTATTAGTAGATTTGCATTATGAATTTGGTGACATACCCTCCTAGGAAATATATCTGGTGATAGTTGAAATTATTTGGCAAGGAAGAGGTCAAGGTGGTTACTAGGAGAGCTTCCATTTCAACTCCAAGGTTTACTTTAGCATTTCCCCAAACCATAGCAAAAATTGATTACTAAGGGACACACTTCATGCACGTAGAGCTTTGTTCTCTTCCTCTTTTTAAGTTGAAAAATTAGAATATCTAGAGAGGTGGCAATTTCATACTTCACTTCAGAATATTCTCAAACTTGAACATTTCTTAAATGTAAGATACATATACAACCCATTTGCCCAGCTCTATGAATTTTATATGTAGATACATTTGATAGATAGTTTATTGAGCTTTTTAAAAACACACAGAGCAGGACAGGTGTGGTGGCTCATGCCTGTAATCCCAGCACTTTGGGAGGCCAAGGTGGGAGAATTGGTCAAACCTAGGAGTTCAAGGCCAAACTGGGCAACACAGTGAGACCCCATCTCTATGAAACACAACAACAACAACAACACACACAGGACAGAAATCACAACTCAACTGTGTTTTTCTAAAATGCAGGCATATCTGGGCATTTCTGCAGGACTCACAAAGCGGTATGTGTATCTATTTATATGAAGGACCTGGAAAAGAATTTATCTCAGTAGAAAAATTAGAGGCTCACAGGTTTGGTTCAGGATGTTGGGGTTTGAAAAGGTTGACACATGATAGCCTCTTCCCCCTCTCTGAATTCTAAACCAAATGATAAGGTGGAATAAAGGAGATAGAGGAAAAAAATCCAGTTTTATCACAGTGCTGGAAAGCATGGCTTAGGAGGGGAAATGGAGGCTTACATCTTGAATCTCAGAATAGACAACCTCACCCCCATCACAGGCAGTGCCGTAGGCTCCTGCTGCAGGGACAGAGTCTGTGCCATTAAGCTTTGGCATGTGGAGAATATACCAGAGCTTGAGTACTGTATGGGCAGGAGCTGAGCTGCTCATGCCCAGTGTTTGCTTCCAAATTTGTCAACGAGATAAAGCAATCCTCTTTCTTAGAGAAGAGTGAGGGAGGTGGAGAGTTTCCAAGAGTGTCCTCTTCCTTTCCTGAAGTTGTTTCTTTGCACAAGAGAATGAAGCCGGGGCTCTGGAGCCTTCTCCCTTCCAACCCTTCACCCCACAGTGACACAGCTTGCTCGTCAATATCTTAGGAGCTGTGTTCCTGAGTTGAGCCTAGTGCTATCATTCTGGTCCAGTTTCTGTGGAAAAGGCTACATTAAGAGTGATGAAAAGCTAAAAAAGAAAAAAGAGAAATGCTGGGCTATTGAGAGCGCAGGCCTCACCAACATTGGCTTTTGCAGTTTGGGTAGGAACTGGAGATGATGCTACGAATCTACATCTAAGCTCTCACCTTTGGGTGGCAGCAGCCTTCATGGTAACGTCAGCAGGCATCAGCAGCAGCACTGACAGCTTGGAAATAACAAAAAGAGCAATAATGATAAAAGCCAACATTAATAAGCATTTATTGTGTGCCAGGAATTCTGTTAAACAATTTCACATGCATTACGTCATCCCTTTAAAGTTTCTTATGAACATTTATATACTGAAAAGTAAAGTGTCTGAGTAAGAATTACCCACAGATTCATCATTCACGTCCAATAATTATATATGTTTTGCTGCATTTGAGTAGTTTTTTTGATGGAGGTATTTTAAGCGGAGTTACAGATTTGATGACAGTTCCCTCCTAAATAAGGACACTTACTACAAAATCATACAATTATTATCACTCTTGTCAAAATTAACAACAGCTCTCCAATATCATCTAATATTCAGCTATATTCAAATCTCCCCAATTCCGTACCATGAATGTCTTTTATAGCTCATCTGCTTAAACCAGAATCAAATTAAATGTCGCATTTGATTATGATGTCTCTTAACTATCTTTTAATATAGAAAAGTCCTCCTTCCTTTCTTTTTAAAATAGTACAACATAGCCTTTTTTTTTTTTTTTTTTTTTTCATAAAAAGAATCATCGCATTGGCTTTTAAAGAGACCAGAACTGTTGTCCTTTGTAATGTTCCTCTTTCTGTATTTATCTCATTGTTTCCTTGTGGTGTCATTTAGCCCCTTCCTCTATCTCTTGTATTTAAAGGCTCAATTAGGTTAGAATAAAACATTTTAGCAAGCATCCTTCATAGGTGTTGCTGTATGTGTTAAGTGGCATCACAGTGGGAGAAGTATCTATTTTCTGGTTGTCTCACCATTAATGACACTAAAACTGATCATGATCTTAAGGTGGTGACAGCCTGACCTCCTGTTGTGGCATTAGATTATCCAAGCCTCAGGACTGTGGCTATCATGCACATTTGACTAGGATTAGAACTGTAGCATCTGACCCCAGATTCTTAAGCACCTCTACTTCCTTCTCCTGACCCCTGTTAGCAGTGTCTCAAACTCTTGTCAGAACCATGGCTGACCTTTAATGAGTGATAGATACATTTCACCCAGTGACCTGGCACAAGAAAAGAGGAGAATGACAGAGAACTGTTCTGGGTATTCTCAGAATCACTATTTATAAATAGTGATTTATGAGAACAGAGTCAGATTTTTTTTTTTTGTAAACAAGTATTATAAATAAAAATGTTCTCTGATTACATTTTCACTTTTAGGCTATTTTAGCCTCCAAAAAAATATGGTTACACAAAACCAAGCAGGTTAGTAGCCGCCGTGTTGCTCCCCTAGTGAGGGAGATGTGGGACTGAGTAGCTACTGCCAGTGAAAGACTTGCGAAGTGCAAGGTGGGCCAGAAAAACCATGTGTCAAAGCACCCATGGTGCAGATTCTTTCTTCTCTTAACTCTAGACTGCCTTGGACCATTCGTTCTTTTTTCTTTTTTGTATGCTGAGTGTTATTTCCCTACATGATTGTAAGCCCTTTGAAGGCAGGCTTGGTTTTTGCTTTTTAGAAACAACGTTTATGTGGGAAGATAAATATATACAGTTACCCCTATTCAAGACTGATTAGGGGAAATTGTATATAATTGTCATGTGACCATGAGCCAAGGAGTCAATCTTTGAGCTTATGTTTCCTTGTCAGTTACTGTTCAGCACTGGTCTGCAATGGGTGGTGGAAAGTCCGCAACAATTGGAACTGACAGCAGAAATGCCTGCAGGCTCATGTACATGGGCTCTGAGTGGAACGCAAAACAAATACTTCTGCTCTCTCGGTTCTTGGTTCTTAGAGTAGCTTTGACATGGAGAAAGTCTTAGAAACAAGGAAACAGGGACATCTTAATTAAGCATGTTAGAGAGAAATGTAAAAACATGCATAAAAATAAAAATGCTTATATCTAAGTGTATGTGTATAGGCTGGGTGCTGTGGCTCACTCCTGTAATCCTAGTGCTTTGGAAGGCAGGAGGACTGCTTGAGCCCAGGAGTTGGAAGCTGCAGTGGGCTAGATAGTGCTGCTGTACTCCAGCCTGAGTGACAGTGAGACCTGTCTCTTAGAATAAAAAAAGGAAAAAACATATATAATGTATCTGTAAACACACAGACACACACATTCTAGAGAGTGACTAAATTTTCAGAATATTCTCATTCGAATTTGATTCATTGCAGCAACTCATTTGAAATTTCCCCTTTGTATTTCTAATGATCTCTCTGTGTGTATTTGTTTTGTCTATCCAGTTTGGACTGTAAGCTCCCTGCAGAACAACACTGTTGTTTTACATATTTTACTCAACACAGTACAGTGGGCATAATTTGTGCTCAAGGAACACTTATGCCAGAATCGCAATAAAGGCCCCAACATGAACTATTCCAAGGATGCCAGGGTCTGGTCAGCATTTTACTGTTTTAGACAGTATCCAACTTCCACACAAGATTAAACCCGCATAGTTCTTTTATTACTCCGTATTTTGGTCACCCGTTACTATTCTACACCTCCAAGCATTTTCTGCTAAAGAAGCTGACTGAGCAAACCCATGAAGATATTTTTCATTTCCTTTGATGGAGCATAATGCTTTCGAATATAAACACAATAACACAGTCATTGCATATGCACTTACATTATTGTAGCGGCTGTGTGCTCAGCAACACTCGCAGCCGGCAGGGAGCCCAATAGTTCTCTTTTCCATTCTGATCTAAATTATGTTCATAATAAAAGAGTTTTCAATCAAGGTAAATACAATTTCATCCCAGTGTAATATCTATATTCTCTCTGTCTCTCTTTTTCGAAAAAATTCTTTCCTTTTATTCTAGGTCACTTACCCTGATACGCATGAGATTGTCCTCTGGTGGGGATAACAGCCTTGCTCCTCAATGAACTATAACAACGGCTCTAAATGCATCTCCTGTAACATACCTCTGTGATTTGCAAAAGTGGGAATAAATCAATGCAGGGAAGAGATGCAATGTTAACCCAGAAGCTAAATGTTACATCATGTAGCGCCAGGCTGGGGAAGAGAGAGCCTGCTTTTTCCTGGCAGCACAATATCTTTGTGCTCATTGCCTGCGCCACAGCCCCATTAAAACAATCATTCTGAATCTGCAGGAAATTGTCACCTCTTCCTTTCCTGCCATGGCAGCTGGCGTTGGAGGCTGCAGACATTGCTCATTCCCTTCAAGGTTCTTAGCACACACGCAAAACAGAAAATGAAGCTTAATTTATTAAAAAAAAAAAAAGTGTCAGCTTACCCTCAGGCTCAGCGCAGGCACCAGGGAAAAAAGAAAAGATAAATGCCTCTAGGTGAACTGGCACCAACTCTAATTCTCCACTCACTCTGCTGCTCCACTGTATGTATCGTATTAATCATGCTGGATGGGTAGACATTTCAAAAACTTAAGCAATTTTCAAACAAAGATGCACCATTTTACAAATAACAATAACATAACTTTATTTTGTGATTCTTTCTTTGGACCGGCAGCAAATTTGAAAAATGTGCTGCAGATGTTGGTACAAATAATTAATGCCCGGGTCAGGGATGGGAGGGACAAGCAGGAGGGAAGAGACAAGCGTAGGCAGAAGACAGGCCATAGCTGCCTTCTCCTTTCTCCTCCTGTGATCTTCCCCAGATCCTGGGTCACCTTTGATGACCCTGTGATATTGCTGGACTCTTGTGATATCCCTGGGCTCCTGAGTGCTCTGCTTCTAAGATCTGAGCTCTGCTTTGGTTCTGACTACCTTGCTGTTCTCCTGTGAGCTCAGTAACCTCTGCTGCTGACACCCAGGCCTGTGGCTAGCACCCTGCCTCCTGTATTTTATCTTCTTGATAATGACACTAGCCATATTCAGTCCAACATGCTGCCCACATGGGGTATCCACTCTCCTGCCCTTCCCTTTACTGGGAAGTGCCTAGCTCCTCCAGGAAGTCATGGTGTCCACTGTGGCCTGGCCCATGGCTCTTCCTTTGACACCACACTCTCTCTGCATGTCCAGCTGCTTTTGCACCCCAGACTGGGCCTGCCTCCCAGCCCCATTCTGCTGTAGTTTGGGAGGTTTGTGGTAGACTGCTTCTCATGTTTTCTGACGGTGTTTCTATCATCCTCTGACCTTCACTCTCAAGTTGAAAGGAAATAAATGAGGAGAGGTAGAGTGGAAGCTCCAGGAACTCGATACAGTGGAACTGCAGCAAACACAACTGGCACTCGAAAGGACATTTTAGTGGATTGGAGTATCTTGGTGCAAAGTCCTAAAAATCAGAATCTTCAAATGATTGAGACAAATGTGTGTGCATGCTGTGGAGGAGGCTAAGAGAGCACAGGTCTCTTTCACTACAGGTTTATGGGAAGTTTCTAGACATCTGTTGTTCAGAGAAAAACAGGGCTTCCTTGTCACAGCTAAAATGACGAATTGGACATGCTGTCCTTGATTCCAGAAAACCAAACGTCCAAACTTTCACCTTTAGTTTGTAAAACGAGTACAGAGCCTCAGCAAGGATGAGCTTGGGGAACACCATCTGCTAAAGAAAACCCAGGTCCCAATAATTTGGGGAATCATCCGTTGATTAACAGAGTGAAAATCTACTAAGAATGTTTTACTTATTATGAGGTATGTCAGGTGTATACCAAATTACAGCTTATGTAATACAAATTAAAAAACCAATTTGAGAAATAAATATTATTGAGACTGTTGAAGCCCTCTTTTATTCCATCTGTTCCTATTCTCTCTTCCCTCTCATCAGAAACAGTGTTCAGAATCTGGGGCTTGTAATTTATTTTCTGTACAATTATTAAAACCTATAATATGCATGTGGTTATGTGTGTATGTGTGTGTATAAGTGATACTGTTTTGCATGACTTACAATCTTATTTAGTGGTTCTGCTCAATATGTATTCTTCTACAGTCTTTTTTTTTTTTTTTTTTTTTTTCTCAAAATGATTGTAAAGCTTATCCATGTTCTGATTCTGGGATCAGCAAACTGGCCTGTGGGCTAAATCCAGCTGGTTGTTTGATGTTATACACCCCTCAAGCTA